CTTCTCTCTCTCTCTCTCTCTCTCTCTCTCTCTCTCCCTCCCCCCCCACTCTCGTCTGTCCCTCTCCCCCCCTCCCCCCAACAAGGAGTTCCTGTTTGGGTAAGTAGTGATATTTCCTGTGCATGCTGCAGAGAGTGACTGTGATTCGTGTCTTTATTTTATGCATGCTTGGTTTTATTATTTTATTGTTTCTGTTAAACCGAGGGGATATACTCGTTTGCATAATGAATTTGGTGCATGCACGGAACCCAGAGACAGGGAATTCTTATAGAAAGGGGAATCACCCTGTCGGTAAATCTCTGAATCAATAGCGAGCTGCAACTCTCTCTCCCTCTCTCTGTCGGCGCTATTGAGTCCTTCTTTCTCTCTGTACCTATCCACTCTCTCTTTATTTTTCCAATGGATGGCTAGACACACTTTAATGGCAAAACTCGCTCTGTAGACTGAGAGGGGAACTCTCTGTAGATTGCCTACAGGGAGCTTGCAATATGCTGACACTACAGTCCCCTTATCCCTTGCAGCTCAACCAGGCGAAACCACCGAAGCGCGGACAGTCTGGGAGCTGTCCCCTAGCTGTGGTGCTGAAATCGCAGCACCGGCTGCTTAGCTTGAGCCGGAGGAGTTCAGCTCTTTCGATAGAGCCGCTGTCTATAGGTTTAATGGCTTTCAAAGGATGTTGTAATCTCGGCTGTACTCTCAGAAGGACCCCGGAGTATGCTGAGATCCCTGTTTATTTTAAGCTAAGGGTTGCTGGGCGCTTCCCTCCCATTCAGGTTTCCCCATCCGTGCGTAAGCTCTGCTGCTGACTCTGCTCGGAATCGCCTGCCCTTCCCGCCTGTGTGTTTGAAACAGCCTGTACCTGATGATGGTGCTTCGCAAAATAGGAGGCTATAGGTTGCTTTATTTGGACTCACCCCTTCTCCTCCCACCTCATTTCCCCCCTCTAAGTGCTCACACCTTCTACAGGTTTGTGTGTGTGTGTGTGTGTGTGTGTTGTTGCCTTTCCTTCGCGTCCTTAGTCATAACCTCACCAGACGAATTGGTGGAATGACTGAATGAGAGGCGAAGCAGTGGGGCGATTGTTGTGTGTACGGAATAGGTGCAGGGTTACTTCAATGCTGCGAACACCAGTCATCCCCTTTTGGAACCAGGGAGACTCTGGCTAGGCTAGGAGCATGCAGGTTCAGAGGCATGCCAGTTAGCAAACACATGGAATCCGATTGCATTCAATCACACACATTGACACTGTACAACACCCACATGCATCAACCCATTCTCCTTAACACGAGAAGGAAGGGAAAATTAATTCCCGACCTGATGGGGGAGGGGGGTGTCTTTTAGCCGCAGACTTATTTATATACCTGCAAGGAGTAGAAATATTAAAGCCGGACAATAACAAAGAAAGCAGATTTCAGTAAGTACATCTAGCTAGCTCAGCGAGACAAAAAGCAAGCTTATAAAATGGTGCACCTACCACTCCAAGCCCAGCGACAGTTGCGGATCCTGCAGACAATGACATGATGCAGACATGAACATCAGTATACCATAGGACATATTTATTTGTTTGTTTGGCAAAAGCACATCTTGGCTAAAATTGCAGACAATAATTTGATATATATATATATATAAACAAGGCATCGTTTCTTGCAATTAATAAAACACAAGCCTACGTATTCATAGCACAGTAGAATGCCACCCACTAATGTCCTTAATGTAGAAATCGTCCCTTCCCCGAGCCTGCGTGGTCGTATTTACAAACTGATCATTTAAAAAAAAACCCACTTACAACACGTGTAGCCAATTACTGTAACTCTTAATATAGCTCTATAAAACAGTCATTAGCAACCAGAAATGCTGCCCTCCTTCCTCCCGCTCCCTCCCTTCCCCGACCCTCCCCTCCCAGATCATTGCATCTCTTGGCACAATGCATAAGATTACCCTTAACTGGATCCTATTAAATAATTCAATGGTGGCGGTGTAATTTTGGTTGGAAACTGCACGGATTTCCAAGTCGTGACTGTAAAAGTGAGTAATGTGCGCTGGCTGCGTCATGGCTCCAGTCACAGATGGTTCCAAACTGAGCAGAAATCGTGACTTCGACTTGAGACGTCCCCTCTACATGAAAAGACCATCCAATCAAAACGGCGTCAGGGGGGCAGCTGGACTCCTCGGATCTCGCTTTCTCTTTGCTCTCCCATCTGTGTGTGTGTGCCTGTATATATATATATATGTGTGTGTGTGTGTGTATTTATATATTTACGTGTGTGTATATATATATATATATACATATATAATATATATGTGTGTGTGTACACACACACACATATATACACACACACACAACAAGTTGCAGAAGGGGAAGGGAGTGGAGGGGTTAATCTTGGGGAATCTTCTGCACTTAGCAAGATCGTGACCCTCCCACACAGTACAGTAACTTATATACATACCTGGAGGAAGGGATGCTTTGCTTTGGGCTTCCTAAAAATATTTGGTGATGGCTGAACCCTCCAACATGCTCATAGGACCGGACTCTGATGCACCCACAAAGGTAAGCGATGGGGGTTTCAAACTTTTTAATATTGTGATCAGAGTCCCCAACTCTGCAGTCAGCCCGGGTGTTCGGTTGATTCTACTGGAGTTTGTAAAGCAAGCTGGTGTTGTTCAAATCAGTCCGCAGTGTGGCTAGCAATACTTTTTAGGGAGGATGTAGGGGCGCGTAGGTGGTTTGTATCTAGGAGTGTGTGTTGTGGTTCTGGTGATATTCCTGGTGTGAGTTTCGTGTGCCATTACAGCTGATAAGGCTGGAACTTTGTGTCTCTGCACCTCATTTTGGAGAGTGTATATTGATCAGTGACAGTATTTTCAGTGTGCGAGCAGACAAGAGATTAACTTCTTGAGTTATTGTTAGTTCTGCGAGTCCTATTCGATCTTCTGTACGATTTCTTCTTTAACTTGAGTAGTAACCCGGCTGATGCTTGGAGAAAAAGTGGGCACTAGTTTGCCTTTATATTGCTGCTGATAGGCACTAGCGGGGCTACTAATTTCCAGAAGGCTTTGTTCAGAAGATCTCTGGAGTAGTTCAGTGACACATCCATGGAACTTTTATTAACTGAAAAGGTGGATTTCCCATCTTTTTGCTTGGGCTGAGTTGAAGCTTGGAAGTCACGATGGTATTAATAGTTGGGGATAAGTGGAAAGTAGGCAGTTTCGTCTCTATTCCCTCCCTCTTCCCCCTCCCGTCATATCTTGGGTGCTCAATCGACTGATGAATTGATATTGGTGGCATACATTGGCCATTGCTGGGTGGCAGCATCAGCATAATTTGCTGACAAATGCCCTGGCAAGTTTTAGATTACTTTAGCTTCCTTCATTGTTATTAGACTTTGGGCATCTCATTTTCTTAAATATACCTGGAATTAATTGCTGTTTGGATGTATTCATAATCCAGGTCCTCTCTTGATTTGATTTATTATAATTTAATTGTGTCTCTTTTGTTCTGGGATTGCATGGCAACACTATTGAACGTGCTCTTGTCTAGGATTTGTTGAATAATTAGAAATGGAAATGTTTCTCTCCCCCCCCCCGCACTCCCCCTTTCGAAAAAAAGGAAATGTGAGGCGTCTCCTGATTGGTGGGTGACGATTTTAGTCCGCACCAATGAGCTGTCTGCTTGGTCTCTATTTATTTAGTGCTCAGGGGGAGAGTTTTCTCTTTACGCAGCGCCTGTGCACAGCGCTAGACCCTCTGCTCGGGAGCAGAGAGATGGGGGGACATTCCGAACTCTACCTTGCTCACAAAGCCCCCAGATCCTGCAAGCCTGGGCTCCCAGCTCCTTGATGGGAGGGGGAAAGAGGAGGACAAGAGGGGCCCAGTGTGATGGGGATGGGCTAGGGGAACCCCCCCTCCTTCCCCACCGCTTCCTCTCCTGAGTTGGGTACATCGCCTTGGGTTTGGAGAGGGACTTGGTCGGGATGGAGGGGGTGGGGAGGGATCCTTGTGTGTCTGGGAAATGATCAGCCGATCGCCTTTGGGTCGTGTGGATATTTTGGTGGCAGCCGGATGGATGGATGTAGGAAGCCGCAGGAGACTTTGTCCTTCGCGAATCTTTTTGCGGTCTGGGCTTGCTGTATATAACTACCTAGCCGGGAAGCCCTTACCCCAAAAAGCATTCGCGGAGGGCGCATTCGCCGAAGGAGCAGCAGCTGCGATCGCCGAGCCTTGGACTTATCTAGACTCTCTTGGCTTCTTTACCTTCCCCCTCCCGCCTCAATCCAGCCCCCGGCCCCAACCCCTTCCGTCCTATGTGTATATATGGAAAGAAATAAACACCCTCTCCCCTTCCCCACTCCGCTTGGTCACCAAGACATTCAGTTATTCACCCTCGTCTTCTAACCTAACTTTTTAATCGACTTTTGCCTAACGGGGCGGATCACACGTTTATTCGGGTCATTTTATTGTTGATTTTATTTAATTATTTTTTCGTAAAAAAAATAAAAAATATAATAAAACTTCCCAAAAGTTCTCAGCCCCTCCTCCCTCCACCCCCAAGGATTTTTTTAAAAGGGGATTTTTAGTGGATCGAAATGATTTAATTAAAAAAAACATGAAGTCGTTCATTAAATTGCCTCTTTAGCAGGGAGATTGGGTTTATTTCGAGGTGGGGAGGGGGGATTTTCTGGGATCACCCCATAAAAAAGGGAGGGAGGAGGAGAGGGAGGCGCACGAATCAGCCGCGGTTTGGGGGAGACCCCAGTTACCAGGAGATGCACCATGGAAGAGCTTGCCAAAGGCGCCTCCCTGCACACTTCCAACCTGATTTTAGGCAACTTGCAGCCCGTTGATTCCCCAAATCATCCTTTCCCCAACACAAAGTGGCCCCGAAAGGGGTAAAAAAGGCGGAATCCGGGGGAAAACCCAGCCGAGGCGATGCTTTTGGGCGAGGTGATTGCAAGCGAGCAAAGCAGCATCAGCACCAGCTCTCTGGCTCTGAAACTGCCTTGTTCCAAGCACACAGCAGTGAGAGCATCTATGGAGGAGTTAGGAAGGCTGCATTCCTTCTCTTTGCAGTAATTACCAGGGCGGATTCCGTGGGCAACAAATCAAACCCCCCTCCCTAATTGCTGCACCCCAAAAGAAAAACGATTTCAAAAAGTAGACCCGTGCAGATCAGCCCAGGGAAATAGACAGGAGCTGAGCAGCAAGTTGGCAGTGGAGTGCCCGGCTGACGCAAGATAGGGGCCTGTGGTTCAAACGTCTGCAAAATTTTTAAAAAAGGATTATTATCTAAGATCTCAACTGTTAAAAACCACCAGGGTTCCCCTCCCTGCACCCCTCTAGCCGGCACAGAGGGGGATCCGGCTCGGAAAGGGCTGGCTTTGTATCTGAACAAAGTCTGCATTGAAGACACACAGGGCGAGGAGCACAACCGAGGCAAAGAGTTAATATTTCTCCAGAGATAAAAGATATTTTGAAGCCCTGGTTGTACTTTATAAGAGAGTGAAAAGCTGGCTAGGGGATAAGCAGGGAAACAAGGCGAAAGCAAAAGCACCTCGCTGTTTCCCCCCATCCCTACCTTAGCCAGGACACGTAACTGGCTTGGTGAGAACAAAGGTGGAAGGGTCACAATATCTTTCAAACAGACTTGCATATTCCCCATTGTTTGCCCTCTCCCCTTTGGAAAAAACAGTGTTTGTCCTTTCCAATCGCCAGCAAACCTCTGTCCAGGGCTTTATGCATGTGAACATCTTTTAAAGGGAGAGACAAGGTTTTAGGGGGAACTTAAAAAAAAAGGAGTGATGAGACGGATCAGCAAAGATCAGGCTATGGAAACATCTTCACCATTTCCTACCTAGCCTGGCCCAAAAGAATTTAAACCAAAGGTGATTTTTGGACAGATCAGAAGCGAATGTAAATCCGAGCCACCGTGGTTTAGATTCACATCTCTTTACATTGCCAGCCAACTGTTGCTACCATTCTGGGGACTGCTGCTGCAGGAGTGTGAACGGGGATTTCTCCTCTCAGCTACATCAGGGGGCTACTCCCAGGCTTTGCTCTCCAGCGTAGGGACCAGTGAAAAAGAAAACCGGGGCATTTGTTTCTTCTCTTCCTCATTTATCTGTTGGAAGATTTCCTTTAATTGGTGGAAAGTTGGAAACTTCCATCAGCCCTGATCATTAAAACAGTAGCAGCAACAGCAGCCTCCACTCAAGGGCTCGGGGGCTGCACCCTAAGAAACATTTCAAATACCCCATTCCTAAACCTGACCAACCACAAAAGCAGCTGCGGAAAGAGGCACCTTTTGGATCGATTAGATTCTCCTAACGGATTAATTTGCAGCTTCTTTTAAAGGGTTATAGTTATTGATGGTTTCCTCCGCCTCTTCCAGACGGATACCTACTTCACAACATTCCTTTAACTCCACTAAGGAAGTAAAAGGCCTCACTTTTATACCATACAGTACAGTCTTGTCTATTTCATTTCTCTATGAAAAGCAACAGCGAAACCCGCTCGCCAGCTCAGGCTAATGCTGGTTTTAAACTCCCTGAAGTTACGAGGTGCAGTTGCTTTAGCAAGGGAGTGGGTCAAAGGGGGGGGGCATTCCTGACCTTTACAGCTGACTGTTTTGCATCGAAGGGTTTGCTTGATTTTATTTTTTGAATTAATATGAGTGTTAAAGGGGAGTCTGGACAGATTCAGATCTGGCCCTAGGCAGCAAAAATGTTTCACTCCTACATTTCATGGTTACTTTTAAATGTCTGACTGATCAGAGCCCAACTCTCGCTAACACAGCCTGGGTGTCTCCGCAAAAGCGAAGGTGAGACTGGAGGATGCGCACAATTCCTCGCAGAAAGTGAAGTTCAAAGCTCCAGGGTGTGGGTGGGGATGTCTGCGCCTCTCCCTCGCCTTTCCCCCAGATGTTTAGCTAACGTGCTCTGCATTCACTTAACGTGTTGTCGATCCAGCAACCTTCCCTGCTGGGTGACATGGTCTTTGGATAAGTTTCGGGCATTAGTGTCCTGTTGAACCCAGTTCAGGGAGACGAGAACTACCCCGCTGCTTCTTACTGCATAGACACAAGTTTTAAAAATCCTCTGTTCTTGCAGCTCTCTTCTTTAGCACTTCTGCGTGATGTGCAGTACATACGTGTAACGGGTGTCTGTGTCTCTCTTTCAGGCTGGCCTAGACGAGCATCTGCTAAAGGCTACTCGAAGGTTCAGGATTCTAGTCAATGGAACAAGAGGAAGACTCGAGTGCCTGTAAGACCAGGTGAGAAACACACAGCAGAAGCTACCGGCACGATCCCAGTTATCACTAAAGGTCACATAAACTACACAATCGCATTATTCTAGATCCATTAGACAGATGCATCCCTGGGGTCGCCCCATAGGAGTCCCGGGCGTTACACCAGCCTCATCTCCTACGGACAGTATTAGTGCTCACGGTTTTCTATGGCAGTAACAGGTGGCAGGAGATTTAGGGTAGCTCGGCCTGCAATCAGGTTACCGTTAATCAGCAGGGTCGCTATGAAAAACCAAAGGGCTGTGGAGGGGTGTGTTATGGGGGTAAGCTTCCAAAGTAAGTTAGTTCCAGTGACGTGTAGGGAGCTCGCCTCTTAATTCAGTCCGAAGTGTTTCTCGTATAGAAGAAAAGAGAATTCCCTGCCCGTGTTCCACCCCGTCCTCCGAGTGAGAACTAGCCTATAGCCTTTGTTTGAACGTGCCCTCAGCGTCTCCACTAACAAACCAAACCAGGTCCAAACGCCTCTCAGCGCCCCGCAAAGTTAGAGCTGTTCGAAGCTTTAAAAGGAGCTCGAATTCCCAGGGCTCCTTCCTGAGCTCTCCTCCTCTTTGGGCTGATCTAAACCCAGAACCGATTCTTGTGTGCAGCACTACTCTGTTGTGTTACAGCAAATTGTGTGTGTGTCTAATGACCTCCTCTCAGTGGCTATGACAAGATGGAGTGCTAGAGGCCTACCTAGGCAGTCCTGAATAAAAACAGTACAAAGGGGAAAAAGAAGCAGATAAATATAGAGCTGGATTTCAACTTCACCTCAATTTTCTCTTTTTAAAAATCAAAATTAAATCAACTTTTCCATTAACTGGTAAATCCCCCTTTTGAATAATTTTCTGTATTTCCTTTTTATACAAAAAATTGCAACATATACATAATGTATAATCTTTTTCTTAATTTTACATGTAACTTTTAAACCTGTTACGTCCGCCATGACCATGGGCTAAACCCTAGCTCATCTTCTGCAAGTGGGACTTCACACAATAAATCAAGCAAGTCTTGACCTCCTAGAAGGCCTACTTACATTATTGCTTTACAGGAGTATAATTCCAAAATATAATAGTCTCATTCTCATTTATACTGTCACCACCACAGCCCTGAAATGGGGCCTTAACATGAGTGCAAAGGTAATTTACAATGAGCTGGCACAAGGCAGTGGGCATGTTAATAATAGAGGAGGAAAGTTAAGGTTCATGGAAAGCATTTAAGACAATAATTGAAAAAGGCTAAAATTTCTGTTATAATGTTTTCCTAAACTACTATCAAATTGATTTGTAGAAAATCTACCATTTTGAGTAAGAAAAAACTCAGCTAGTAGCAGGACAGGAATCTTTTCATAAAATTTCATACAATATTAAACAACTATCTTAGCTTCTTTATTCATTAGTGAATTTCTTTTTCAACCCATATGTTAATGCTTGGTCCAAAGTCTGCAGGTCTTTTGGTTTTAACCTTGTAGGTTTTTGATTAACGCTGAGAGAGTTGGCATGTTATTTATGTATAGATTTGTAGTCATGATGTAAAAACATACTGGTCAGACTTATTCATGAAAAAAAACCTTATTTTCCTTCATTTACAATAAAAACTTCCCGTTCTGTTTTAACATTCTATCAGTTTTAGAAAAAGGGACAAAATGTATTTGAGTTATAAGACTCATAAATGAATAATTGTAGCAAAGTGTCATTTAATTGACTATATTTTGAATTCTAAATCCCAGTAAAATGATGCAGGAAGGCTGTTTGTTAGAAGGCCATTTCTGATATTCTGTTTTGGCCTCTTGTGTCATACAAGGCTATTATTATCACCCGTATAATATACAATTTGCTATAACACAACAAAATGTCCTCCTTTGTAAAGGCGCTGTTATGGACCGGTCTCATCACAACTTTGGGGTTATCTTTTCTACATGACTGGGGACAAACATGTCTTTAGGCCACATATGGCCTAGCATTGTTTTCCTGATATCCTTTAATTTCTGTTTTTGCAATAAACATTTCTGCATATCTAAATATAGCAATGACAAGCAGATCATAGTAGTTAGAGATAGAAAAGGATCATTAGATCCTTGAGTGCATACCCCTGCCAGGCCAGCATATAATCTCCCCTGAAAGAGGACATACCAAATATTAAACTGTCACTACACTTAAGATTGGTAAAAAGACCAAGGAGTACATTGCAAGGATCATGGGGTGAGTGCATGTTAATTTGTGTCTGTCAGCATGCTTAATACAATTATATAAAGGCTAAGGGCCTATGAATGCAATTTCTGCACAAGGCCTCTGAGCCTCCTGTATCACTACCACTTAGACACCAGGAAATACCTCAAGCCCCACCTGCTAAAAAACTGCGATGTGAGTAATAAACTGCATGAAATAGTGATTGACACCCTTTTTGCCCCCTCTCCCCCATCACCGGACTTTTATTGGTATTTGAATCATTTACAGATTACCTATAGGTCAGTCCCAATCTGTTCTCTTTTAAATAGATTATTCTACTTACAATCATTTGGATACAATGCTAATCAAGAGTTGGGTAACTATGGTATGCTGCATGCAGATTTGTAAATAAAGGCCTTCCAAAATAGGATGCTCAGAAATTAACATTTACTATTATTATTATTATTACAATTGGGGGGAATCTTTTCTGTTGTTTTTGCAATTTTCGATAACTTTGAATTCCTATTGAAAAAATACTAATCTCTTATTTAATCAAGATATATATTTATTCTCTGGGACTTGTATACAAAGTCATCTTTTTGGCTTTTATACTTCTAGACATACTCCTGGTTGTTGTTTTTTCCTCCTTCAAATGAAAATATTTGTCTTTATCCTTTCTAATAGACATGAAATCCTCATCTTGTTAGTAGGTGACCCTGCTGGGGAATGTTAAGTAGATTCTGCTGACTCACTTAGGGTGTCAATACTAGGCTTATTATTATTATTTTGCCAAAATATTCCCAGTGTGGCTACCACCAGTTCAGTTTCACCAGTGGAAATACTGGGGCGTGGAGAGGGGGGGGCAGGGATGTATGATGCAGTGCTTAAAATACAGGGAGTCACCAATACGTTGTCTATACTAGGGGTCATACCATTCTGATCCTTGATTAAGCTGAACCAGTGGTAGCAATGGTGGGAAATTTTAGCAAACAGTATATTCTTGCAGATAGCTCATTAATCCCCAGTATAAGGGAGATGGAAGAGGACATAAGGCATGCGCTGAGCAGTCTTGAGAGGGGAACCCTGGGAGCAGCCAAGCCTGAGGAAAAGACTTGGGCTGGATTTTGTGTTGTTTCACTTTGATTTCCTTTTGTGAATAAAAACAAACCCAGAAAGGAAATATATTCTGACCTGCTGCGAGTTGTGTGGACTTTGTTTGGAGCTGAGAAGGAAAGTTGCACAGTATTTAAATGTAGACAGTCTTCTGTATAAGTGACATGGTATCCTGCAGAAAAATACACACAGGTGCATTGATGGCTAAACAAAAAATATGTTGAGTATATTTCAGTAACTTATTTTAATTCCAGGTAGTCAAAGCTGACTAGTTTAATAGTAGATAGCTACAAAACTTGTCTGTGTAAATCAAACTTTTCCACTTAAAAATCAAAACACAGAAATTGCAGTCATATATTTTACAGCAAATTCATTGGTACTGTTCTGATGGGTTGTGAAGGACAATAGAAGCTACTTTATTAATTATTCTTTTGCACATATAGAAATGAATCACAGCATTAGCATGACATGAGTTTTATTTTTAATATGATCTTCCTTATCCTAGAACAAGCCTGAAATTGTAACCAGATGGTGTCCCACCCTGCCAGAGTTGCCTCCAACCATCAGGGTTCCAGTCCCCAGGGCAGTTAACCACAGGCAGAATTTTCAGGTGTGGTGATGATTGTGCATATCTCCACATATACAGTAGCAGTGCTATGTACTGGGATAATTTGGGGAGAGCTGTATTGCCTCCTTGCATTAAATCACTTGATAACAACCCCAGGAGAGCAAGTGGCCTTGTCAAGCGGTCAGCTAGCGGCAAGGTGTGACTTCCTGTGTATGCATTGTCACCACTAGGTTATTGCATTATGAGCTCCAGTGTGCAAGCAGCCCACCCCGTTCCCAAGCAGGAAAACAGGAGGATTGGCGGGCGGGCGGCGGAGAAGGGAGGCAAATGTTATACTTTTTTCTTATATTTAATTCCAGCAATTTCCCCCCTTCAAAGCTCCTCTGATCTTCATTTGGCAGGTTGAGAGCCCCCTTATTCGCTCCCTATTCTTCCCTAACCCATCACTGATAGCAACTATACCGCCCGTGAGGAGCCTAATTGGTCCTCCCAGTGCAGTCCATTTCTTAGCTAGAGGGAGACACTGAAATGGTTACTGAAAGTTTTTCTTGATAACTGGGAGTAGGTGGCTACTGTTAGGCAGGTATCATTTTAGAGGACAAAGCACTTGGGTTTGCACCAATCTCTTGGTCAAGCGTCCAGTAAACTCTTTATTAATGATAAAGACAGGTGTGGCCAGGGAAAGAATTGTTCCTTTGTCCCCTGCTTTAAGTGAGCTGTAAGTAAACAGACTAGAATAATGATATTTTAAATCAGTTAGGCTAAAGTAGGCAGAAAAATGACCCAGGGTCACTACTGGGACATTCTGAATGTTTTCTGCTTGTCTATAAACTTTTATTGAAAGTAGAAATCAGAGAAAATATCTTCTGAGGATGTTATTTTTTAATGGACACATTTTTAAAATTGAAAGAGGAAAAGGGAAACAGATTTGCTAGATGCAAATTCCATGAAACTCTTACAAGGACCCACTGCTGCTATTTTTCCTCACGGAATAATCCATATGCACTCAAGTTGTTCCAATTAAACCTACCTGGGGGAGGAAGGGCTTCAGGATCAGACCCCCCCTCCAAATATTTATACTTTTCCCTTTAGCAATACACTCTGCAGATTTGATTTCTTTACTCTAGGAAATATTAATG